GGAGGACATCATTTATGAGAAAGCAATCTAGCTAGCACAAAGACTGCATTATCGTGTCTTCAAGGATTCTAAAAGTTGGTTTCGCTCTAGGTAAGACAGACATGTTTTCCAGTCCTACCAGGTACGAGACATTCAACTTGTCTTGATAGGTAGGCGGGGCACGTTTGGTGGTACCACAATATGCCGTGGACGGGTTTCGAGCGGAGTTACCGCAGTTGATCCATGGATATGCTGATTGTGATATTTTCAATGCAGATGAAACAGCTTTGTCTGACAACATCTTTCAGAAGGAACATTAAGTTTCGAAGGTAAAAACAGTTCGTGGATCCAAGAAATTAAAAGAAAGAGTCAAGTTACTCCGTTGTGGGAGCATAACTCGTTGGTTGTTGGAAAATTTCAAACTCCACGATATCTCAGAGGTATAGATGGAAAAAGCCCATCCTGTAGTTATAATTCTTCAAAGAACCCGTGGATGACTTCTCGTTATTTCACAGTTGTCCGATGTCAACTGCAAAATGGTTTTTGAAAGACGCTCTATTTGACTATTTATAGATAACATCGGTTGTCATAACAAAGTCGCAGTATTCTTCAACGTCAAATTAGTACGACTGCGTCCGAGGTGTTGTTCAATGTTACAAACAGTGGATCTGGGTGTGATTTGGTCTTTCATAAATTCGCAACGGAAACATTTACTGGCATACGTTTTTTCTTTGATCGAAGATGATCAAGTTAGGAAGAAAGCCGAAATGGACATTTTCATGGGCATGCATATGGTCAAGAAAGCTTGGGTGCCTGTGCATCCGCACGTACTGATCAGCGCTTTCATAAAAGTCGGGTTCAAACCCACATTGAATCGACCGTTGATACAGCCACCAGAGGATAACTGCGATCGGATCGGAAACTTTACTTACTATGTCTATTGATTAACGTCGTTTTGCAAAATAAATCGCCTGTTTAGAAAAAGCGGGTTATCCAAAAATTTTGCATCAAGTCTCTGCGTTAGTCACTAGATGAATTCGTTCTAAATCAAGCTAAGCGTCGCAAAGAAGACGATGGATGTGAGGCAGTAAATGCGTTGAAAGTTATGGCAGTTAGAGAAGCACAGAAGTTACTGGATCAATTGAAGCTGTTTGCCTTGGCCAATGCTCGGATTTCCGGTCGATTACTGGAGTGTACAATTGATTTAAACAGCGCTCGATGAGCTCTGTCGCACTAACGTACAAACGGGTGAAGAATCGAAATCGCGATTGACTGGTAAGCGGGTGAATGGAGTGAAATGCCCGATCCAAGCGATCTATAAACGCCGTGGCGTAGACGCGCCTGTGTGAATGGATGAATGATAATCGCATTTGCCTATGCTAGAGCATCGATGAAATTGGACAGGTTATTCGCCAAAGGTCATCATAACCCGGGTCTGATGCAAGTGTTGTACTTGATCCGTCACTTATATTTGCCGACAGTGGTCATAACGAATATATCAATCGGTCGGAACAAACACATTTACCAAAAAAAGCGAAGGAACGAGTAGATGTCTACAGAGTTATTGTTACACATTTTCACCAGAAAATCATGGAAAGACTGCACAGTGAGCAGGCCGTTTGAAAGAAAGAGAAAGAAGTCAATCTACTGAGTATACTCCGTAACAGTTATTTTAAATGTAGTGACTTCCTTCGAATGCCAGTTCTTGTCCTTTATACCACCTGGTTTATTCTTGTTTTAATCGAATGAGTTCACATTGGTGTTGCCATTGTTGCAGCTATATTATGGTGGACTCCATTCTGGAGTTAGCCTAACATTGCAATGGAGTGGATGAATATCTAAAATTCATATGCGCTAATTGGGTTAGAAAAAATTCCCCTGCATAAAGGTAGGTAGCTTCGGGATAACTAGACACTTGAAACCGAAAAAGTGCTGAATATCGGATCCAATGTACCGATATTATTGTTGTTATTGTTGTTGCGTTGGCACCATGCTTGTTTTCAAGCCGGTGGTATATATATATATATATATATATATATATATATTAAGCTGAGGGCACCATAAAAGATTTCAATTCGTTCGACACATAAAGGATACGCAAGACGGTATATCTGAATTCCATTATAAAAAACCGTACAAAATTATAAATATTGGGAACAAGTAACACAATTAACATCGATCCGATTTATTTTGTCACAAAACTTTAACCGATTTTTCATACTACTTAATAGCCGAAGCTTGAATGACCGCGAGGTTCAGTTCAATTACTGAAAGGCAACGTGACAATTTTCTCAAAGATGCAAAACGGAGTTAAACACAGTCATAACCGAATTATTCAGTTCTTCCTAGGCATTACTAGGAAATTCTTTCTTGCAATCCGTCTTTGCTGACGAAGTTCGGTTAACTGCTGTCCCGTGATGAGTGCCGCCTTGCCGCCCGTCAAGTATGCATATCTGGTAATCTTTTGACAGCTAATTCATATTCGTGTATATTTGTATAGCAAATGAAGTCTTACACGCTTCAGTTGTATTTACCTCCCCACCTGTGGAGTAGCTATGTGAACGAGAAACGTAATCGGAGGAAGACCATTTGAGAATCCAGCATCGAGATAATTCTGTGTGGTTACAACAGGCTGGATTCCACTCATTGAAAATATTCAACCATCAGATCTACTAAATGGGCTTCATCGTCACCTGATACGCAGAGGATGTACTTCGAGGACAAATCCAGCGCACTTAAATGGTTTATAGTAGTAAGATTCTGAATTCGCGTGTCCAATACGTAGCGAATATCTATCGCTAAGGTGTCCATTATGCGCTCCAGAGAAGCTTGCTGGCATCTTGGCACCAGAGTACTCAAGTTGAAGACCCCTAGATTCAGAGCTATACGGGGCACTAGAATCTGCAATGTACTTTGTGGTAAACTACTTATGGTGCTATTTCCCAACCAGCTTAGGTTGCAATTGCAGATCAACAAGTTGTCTGATGCAATTTTACGGATCGAGAAAAGGATTGGAAAAATTAGAATTTTGACAGCAATTCAAGGTAAACTATAATACGTTTGAGTAACCTTATAAAAACTAATGAAATTCGATTGAGAGAAGTTGAATGGATGCATTCGGTACATATCCCTCAAGTCATGTTGGAGTTTTAACACGAGTAGGCGTTATAGTCTGCCTGTGAATAGAGATGACATAACAATCCAGCGAGAGATTAACGACAATGTTTATTCCTAGGATCTAGGAAATGCATCACATGGTTTTATACTTTCCCTCATCCATACACCAATGCACGTACCTGGACTGATTCTAGTTGTTGCCAAACTGCAGATATTATATGATCAGACAAATCGCCAGTGAGGAGCAATTTGGAGCTGGTCAGTAACTTCGAGGACCAACGGGGTACCGTATCTGTCTGCGTATGAGCCTCTAAAGTTGGGTTCATCGAGCACAGTGCGGTACGAAGCAGATCCACAATCCGATGGACAGTGGATGACAATAATGGAACCAGGTGAGGTGCGAGCACGGTCCGTTTAGTGGCGGACAGCGAACTGGCCGAGGGAGTCATACCGTTTGCGAGATTCGCATCGCCACGGTCATTTGAGGGTCGCACCAGTCGCAGTGCGCAAATCCAATCCTCAGGACTGACCTTGAAGGGCGTCGGACAGCGAGGGAAGAGACAAACCGGAAAACCCAAAGAAAGGAAATGTTATTCAATGTAATATGTACAAATTATAACCAAGATCTGTGTTCAGAAAATCGTAAACGGCACGTATCAGCACATTCACGAATTTTAACGGATCAGAATTCTTCATAAGGAATTGTTGCCTCTCCTGCCTCGGAATTTCTTGACTGCAATGCGTTAGGAATGAATAAGAATGATGCACAAGTTATTAGCTAGAAAACTACGACGGGTGGATATGGAAGCGCGTTTCGTTCACCACTGTTTTTATCGAACGGAACGCACTAAAGAATCTGATGCTTATTTATCTCCGGTTGTGAATTCCATAACAAAATTCGCCTGCTTTGACCTAGCAATCTGGTGCCCTCAAGCAGAACAGGTAACATGTTCTTTTTATAAAGATCATTGTACCGTTCTTTGTTTGGTGCACATTCTGGACACAAAAGTATATATGTATACCCTACGACAAAAGTATTGCCCCCCTCCTAGGTTTTTGGATAATCTCTGACCATCACCACCTTTTGAGAATTTAGAAGGTAACCAAATGAAAAGCCGTGGGGTGATTTTGCTAGATTTTGGATCCTCATACTTTAAATTACTTTATACCACAGTATCACTGTTTACTGATAATGTAGTTTTTTACCTACATGGTTAGAAGACTAAAGCCTCGTTTCCGGTTGTTCGTTTTCTCTCTCGTTTATCGCTCAATCGATCGAGCTAATCAAAATTTGACGTTCAATGAACATCAGAGTATAATGAGAGCTATGGGAGCTATTCTTCTTCTCGGATAAGGAGTTTCCAAAGGCTAAATCAAGCCAGACCATGAACGATTCTCAGCCTAGAGGGAGTTACCTCCCTTGAAGGATGCCACTTCGCAAAGACGAATGTTGGGGATGCTGGTGTACTATGCCCATTGGATTCCACACTTGTCAGACAAAATGCATTCACTAGTGCATAACCACATCTCACCCATTCCGGACAACGCAAAATCCTCTTTCGAAGAGTTGAAGAAAGAACTGGAAAAGGCCGCTATTTTACCGTTGAGTACACCCGCCCACTAACAGTTGAGACCGACGCATCCGATATCACAATAGCGGCAAAAGTCAATCAGGACAGACGTCCGGTGGCTTTCATCTTACTTACCTTATCTCTGAGTGAGCATCACCAGTCAGCGATCGAAAAAGAAGCGTGCGCAATCGTGGAAGCTCTAAGGAAGTGGAAACATCTTCTGCTCGGGAATCACTTTACTCTTATCACGAATCAGGGTGCAGTTGCCTCTATGTACAACAAGCAGCACAAAGGTAAAGTGAAAAACGATAAAGTTCAACGATAGAAATAAGTCCGTTTACTGGTGTGCACTGCCACCAACGAAACGCCTTACAAGAGACATTTGACATTCAATCGGAGGTCTACCAATGGCACCTCTCTCCCGACATGGTTGTCAACTGGAACCAGTTCTTCTCAAAAGAATGAGTCGGTCTTCAAAATATGATCCTCTAACGGCAGAAGTTGAAATTCTAAACTGTAACCCGCAATATGTTCATGTGCGTCTTCGAATGGAAAAGAGGAAGCTGTATCACTGAGGCAACTTGCTCAGAAAGCGTCTAAATAAGAAAACACTCATGAGACCACAACAGATCAGAATGTGCACCTCACGGAAGAACTATCCACACCTTCGATGATCCAACTGGGCTCTAGAACCAGAACAGTCTGACGAGACGGACCACATACAGCAACTCATAACAGACCAGCAGCGTGTCTACCCATACAACCTTCAAAGTAGAGAAGTTTGAAAATCACAGTGCTTCACAGACTGCACTCAGCGAGAAAGAATGTTGTGGTTTTGTTAAACTTTGGATCTTTATACCACGATATCACTGTTTAGTGATACTGTGGTTTTTCATCTTTCTGTTGTAGCCGACGTACCTATACTGTTAGAAGATTAGACCCTCGTTTCTGGCTCGCCGTTTCCCTCTCGTTCATCGTTCATTCAATCGAGTTCATCACAAGCCGAAAAACGAAATTTCATCAAATTATCTTTGTTTTAAGGAAAGCAACAAAAAAAAACGATTTTGATTAGCACAAAGTATTGAACCCTTCCCCTGTAACTTGTTCATTGAAGTCAGTTTAGTTTAGCTACATTAGCTATTGTCTCAAAAAGTCTACACATCTTCTCTCGGCATACTATCTATAAAAGTTCGAACGATGTCTTGGTCGATATTACTCCACTGTCTAACCAAAGACTCTTCTAGACAGTGTTTTGTAGTGTAAACGGTGGAGTATTGGGTACGTCTTTCGGGTCAGAATGGCTCAAACGTTTGTATTGGGTTCAACTCTGGGCTGCATGCAGGCCTCACCATTGCTTCGATACAACGAGTCAATAACCATAATTTTTGATGAGGGTTATATACTGCGACGATATACTGCAGGAAAATGGCTTCAGGATGTCTATTGGATGCCATTGTTGGTATAGAGTACTGTTGTGTTCGGTCTGAACGTACGATTGACACGAGCGGCGCTTGCTTAACCCCCAACATGGCGGAGAGAGGACACGAGTCAAGATGACAGTTTGAATGTATTTCATGATTAGGGTCTGGTACGCAAATATATAGGGCAAATTACGCCTACGATATATATATATATATATGTATATATATATATCATTTTAATTATATTTATAAGGTTTCGTCCCTAGCGATTTGTGTCAGGTCAACAAAATTTGATTTGGCACAAATCATCAGTCGCTCACCAGAATCAATCAGCGTTTTTCGGAGTATATTCAAAGATGGCACCAAAAAAATTCAGAGCAAAGGCCATCACGACAAGGAGACTTGACTTACCACTAAGTATTTCTGTTCCAAAGCCAATTTGACACGGCTTCGATAGACCTGAGGATACTGTCGACGTAAGCAACACAGACAGGCCTCGGTAGTTAAGGCCTTCAAGTCAGCACCGCTGAAGCCACTAGTTGCTTGAGCCAATCGCTTCAACAACTATCCGAGTAATTCAGTTTGAGAAAGGGAAGGGGGAAGGAATCTAGTGAAAAATAGCACTGGAATCGGACAAATATACAAATATGAACGGAGCTGATTCTTGTGATGTATGATAACAGTAGTTTCGAAGAGGAGCTGATAAACTGTGTTGCAAGCATGATCCAAGTACCCTTTAACTCCTCACAAAGGTTAAAAGCCGATTATTTTCTTAATCAAGCAACATTTTTACTACAAATCATTTTTTTGACATGCAGTAGAAGGGGTAAACTCATACTACAGAAGATCTGCTGTTCAATTTCAATAACTGGTTACCGAGGCCTAGGAACTTAAATTAATTGCCTATGTAAAGGCTTCATCAGGATATGCGTGATATGGAGCCGGACAACAAAGAGGTGTTCGCTACATTTTCACACAGAAAAATCATATGACACTGAGAGAGAGCAATAAATAAACTAACCAAAATCACTAAATTGTTTCCATTTGTAGATCAATGAATATATATAGTGCAATGAATATCATCGATTTCTGTTTTCGAGTAGACCATCCACTAAGGAATCTCATTAAAGGTGGTGTTCAACCGAGTGAGATTAAAAAGTAACCGGAAAGGAGGAATCCGACTCAATAGTTTTCTTTAATTCGTTACTTCTATGAAAATTGGACGCCGTGTAAGTGATAAGCTGAACACAGTATTTTAAAAGTCGCCATCACTGAATAAATGTAGCTGTCAACCAACGTCTTAGGTTTCCGCGTCGATTCGCTGAGCAAAATTAAATGAACCGTCGAATCACATATGCTCAAAATCCTTTAAGAAGCTGTCAACATGAATCAACTTAGAACTTCGAAAACATGACTTACTTCAGCGGATGGTTTGGGATTCCACTTTGCAGTGTGTACTTGTAAAATTCGCTCTCGGACAGACTGGCATGGCAAAGAAAATGCGAATTCCCGATCGAATCGTCCAGGACGTCTTAGGGCTGGATCGATGGAATCCGGGCGATTCGTGGCCCCGATAACCACGACCTCAGAACGCTGATCCAGACCGTCCATCAAACTGAGCAATGTAGACACGATACTGGAGTGAATCTGATCCTGAATACGATCGTCGATATCCAGGGTTTGTCGCACAGTTAAAAAGATAGACGATTAGGAATTGTAGAAAAATGAGACAGATATGCAACGTGCTACGAGTTGGCACGTGAAAATACAAGACTATGAAAGAGCAGAACACCGGTTAAGATTTTTGTTTCACGTTGATACTGAATTGAATCGATTGGTAGGTTCGATGAATATATGAACAGCAGGCTACTCAAACGAGGCCACAAAAACAATCAGCAGTGGTTAAATACCAGCTATGTATATATGAACGTCCTGGATACAACTATACCAATGAACTGATACATTATAGGATACGCATACTTGACTCTCTTGAAATTATATCAATATTTCCGAGAGAGAATATATATATATACTGTTGAATTCAGAATTACCAATGTCCCCACATTGAAACTTGGGTTACAGGAAAAACTGAACACACTTTTGTGAGGATTAAAGTGTGCATTGTGACATTATCATTATACTGGCCTATCGATATAATCACCGTACAACGAAATACAGAGAAGCGAACTTTACTGATCGCTGCCAAACTCGCAATGCATATGCACTGGGGTTTGATGGACGGGGACTGACAGGGTGTCCAGCCACTAAGCAGGAGAACGATTAAGGTTCTCAATCAAAGTCTTTAGTTCTGACAAGAACCTAGCCGCAAGGCAGCGGTTGAAGCGAAGTAGAGGCCCATTTACTTGGATCAATTACTCCTCTACTATTTTTTTTACCGACTTAGACGCAAATTCTAGTTGAACTCCCAACCTGGAGGACCAGGAGATTGAACTTTGTCCGACCTTCCAGGCACGATTATGTCTTCGGCTTGACAAAAGCTATCCTGTGTAACTGGTTGAGTCAGAGAGGTGCACAAGCCATCACACCACGTCACGATGCAGTCTCGTCGTGATAAACGGAAAAACCAAATATTTGCTTGCGTTATAATTCCACAACGTGGTGTCTGGTCGAAGACCGTTGTTTATTGCAGATTTCAGTTAGGATATTAATAATTTGGCATACATATAACGGATATCTCATTGAAAACAGGTCATCACAGCACACAGGGTAATGAATGGAGTAGTCCGTAGTTCTTATTTGAGGCACAGTAATTCGGCTTTAGTGGTCTTGATAATTTTTGATCGTTGAGGGAAACCGCCAACAGCATTATATTGCATGCTACTCACAAATGTAAGCAGTGCCTTACAACACTTGTAGTTGTATAGTGTTGTAGTTTGTTGCCGTCGTTGATCGTCAACTGACGCAAACCATCAGTGGAAAACGCTAGTTTATATCGCGAGCAAAAATTATGCTGGATTCTGATGTGCAACTGTGTGAATAGCAGCACCTTTCTTCTGCATTCTCAGATCTGTGCTTCCAGGATTTTCAGTGATGTCGCGATGGTTGTGTGACCCACATTCTATTGTTCTCCTCCCAACCCCTAGGTTTTCCCCATCATAAACTATAACGGCATAATTATGAGTTATTGAAAACAACTGTTTGCCTGAAATTGTGTTCTAAACGCGAGTATGGGCATATTTCGAAGTTTGAAATTCTTAGTTCATATACTTAATCTGGAGTTTTCCTATCAGTTCAGTTATTTCTATTTCACTTCAGGATAAGATGACGATATAAAGAAACTTATTTAACTGTTACTTCAGTTATCTACCAACGTTTCGGTGAGGTTTGACACTAGCAAAGCTAGTGAATTAGCAAGCTTATTGGAATATAAAATTTATCCCTCCAAGAGTGGTACGTCTATTGAAATGGTGCTTAGCGGCGATTCGCAAACTCCATTTGTGAAGTTTGACGATCCAGAAGAGGAATAACACGTATTTTGCAGATATGGGCTTTTCAAGTAGTAATATGGTGGCAAATTTATTTTATATTTATTTAGTTTTGAGATGAAAGACAACCATAATAAGGACCTCCATAAGCGACATCAATTCTCTGTCGAAACGGATGAATACACTAACCTGTCTACAAGAACGAACTGGAGCCAAGCCATCAATTTCATCGAAGAATATGATAGACGGTCGCATTCGGTAGGCTTGATCAAACAGCAGACGAAGCTGACGTTCCGATTCACCAACCCATTTGGACAGACAATCAGCACCTTTTCGCATGAAAAACGCGATGGGACGTCGACTGACCTGGTTACCCTGGTTTGAAACGGAGTTAGTCATGCGTGTGCACTCATTGGCCAAAGCACGGGCTNCGGGCTAACAGTGTTTTCCCAGTGCCTGATTGTAAGAGGAAACAAAAAATAACAAGTGCAGTGTGTCCATAGACAGTGATGTGTTGAGTGTGACAAAAATGTAACCTGGGCATGATATGCGCACGCCCATGGATTTTCGGAAAGCAACGGGAGACCCGTTTGTATGGTATATAGATCAGGATGTGGTAGATTACGATATTTTACAAAACTGTGCATACCAGAATAAACGACTCCAAAAGCCTCAGTATGGTCGAATGTGCGTGTCTAGAGTTGCGACTGGTCACCCTTACATTGCACCTCGCCAAATGCTCCCATTCGACCAAGCGTCTCAAATAGCCTCCGTTGAGGAAGCCCTACTCACTGTCTTCTCGTGGCGGAAGTGTTTTCCTACCAAAGTGAGAGGACGAAAAGCCGATATCCGGGGCAATAACCGGGTTGGCGAAACACTGGTAGTTCACCAGGGGGAGTTGGTTAAAATCCCTGATTCCAAACCAACTAAGAGGAGGCGTACAAACCACACACAACTTCCGATTGTGGTAGTGGTCGATGGCTCAATTGGACATCAAGGTGTATTGGGCACCTTGGACGTCTGCCCCCGTCCGAAGGGCGCATGATCCGGTGAACTGGACACCGTCCCTCCCCCCGCCACCCAATGGATTGCGGTTTTCACACAACGCCCCGCCACCTTGTGGGCCAGGCTTTGGCTAGCTGAAGATTTCGGTTGTGGATTCCCCAAGAAAATTCACCTTGGCCTAGGCAACCTGGCAGTATTCAGCCCGCAAGCCAGTTATGGAACGTTTTTTCTTTTGATTCGCCTGGCACACAATCAGACAAGTGTGAAATATATATATATAAATATATATATATGAAAGGATTTCTGTGAGCGAGAAATTATGGAGTAGACTTGGCCTAAACAATTGTTGATAAATAGTTGAGATACATAACCCCTTGTTTTCCTTCGTAAAAAATTCTCAGCTCTTAAAAACATTGATTGATTTATTGCGAAAACGAGTAGACGAGCTCAACGACTCGTTTTCTTAATGCTATCGTCAGAATATTCAAATTTTTGATCCATTTACCTTTAATCTGTGCAGTGCTTGAAGCCAACGCAACCGAATTTTAGTACGGACTCCATGTGATTCACTACTCATTATCAAAATTGAAGAGTAGATCCTCTTGAAAGTATAAAATGAAAATCGGCAAAGTTTGCAACTACCCAATTCATAGCGTTCCTCAGGAAGTGGTGGGGTAAATATCATCAATACTAACTGTTGCCCATGAGATCGTTTCGAAGTCGATCCACTGCATGACACCCAACCTACTGTGTGCATCAATAAAAATGGTAACCTCCACATAACGTTGTACCGGACACTAAAGTGCGTTAGGCAGCTGATTCGTCTCTGTTTGGACTCCTCGGCAGTGCGTACTTGGTGTATCGCTGCAGTAGCGCGAAATCAGAACTCTTGGGTTGGAAGCCAAGGTACCTGACCTTAATCTACACAAAATAGAAACAACAGCTCAAGTGTAGTACAACATTCAAGAAGTAAGTTGATATAACACCAGACTATATGTCTTTAGTAGACTACAGTTTATTAGTTTTGCACGTCTGTCTCAGTCATTTAGTTTCTTTATTTTCCACAACCGCAAGTGCAACCCAAGGGATGCATTATAAACAGATATGTCCAACAAGATCCAAAGGCTAGCAAATTTAACACAAAAGAAACCACCCGTGGAACCTGGCGATAATGAGATCAAGTGAGCTAATATGAAAGGAACCTTTGGAAGCATACTTCTTGGTAAAAGAAGGGAATACCATATCATACCAAACACTACACTGATGATGATGATCACAAAAAAACATTGAGGTGTTGATAAAGTATTGAAAATCGGTTCTCGTAGCTCGGATGAACTAAATTTTA